TCTTTGTCCATTCTCTTGGGAGGGTCTTTGTGTTGTATGGCTTCCTCTTGAGCCCTTAGCATGGCATATTATATTTACTTACATTCAGATCCATTGGCATTCCTACTCAGTGTCTCAGTGAATCCTCCCGAATCTAGCAGATATTCTTCATTTAGATCCATCTTCGAATTATTCCAATTATTATTATTTTGTTTTCTTTGTGCCAGAGTTTTGCTATGTAGTCCAGGCTTGCCTTGCACTTGCAGTGACCCTCCTGTGTCAGCCTCCCAGGTGCTGGGGTTATAGGTGTGTGCCACCATGCCAGGCTAGCTCTTCCATGGTTAAATTCAGATTGTATTCTTTTTCCATCCCTGTGAACCTAAATAATCCAATTATCATTATATTTTCTTCTGCCTTTTTTTTTTTTTCTTGGGCGGTGCAGGGCCTGGTACATACAAGGGCAATAACTCTACCACTGAGCCACATTCCCAGTCCTGCTGTTTAAAAGAAAAAAAAGACCAGATTTCTTTAAATCAATATTTATAGTTCAGACTCGCCGTGAACTCATTAGGTAGCCTGTAGTCGTCATAATCTTCTGCCTCAGCCTCCCAGGTACTGGGATTACAAGTATATGCCACCACACCCGATTTCTGCCCTTTTTGTGTGCTATATTTATAGCATTTTGCTCATTATTCACAGTTCAGAACTTGTGACTGACCAAAGCTCAGTTTATTTATTCTCTTTACTTTGTCAGCATTTGCTTACCAGAATGGAAAATTAAATTAGGTAATTATAGCATCTTAGTGATTATTCTTTCCCTTTTTAAATTCTTTTTTCCTCCCTTTTCTTTTTTTGCAGTGATAAGTATCAAACCTAGGGCTTCATTAAGTGCTAGGCAAGCACTCTACCGCTAAGCCACAAACCAGCCCCTCTTTTGAAGTATCCTATAGTCAGTTATAAGAAGAAAAACTTAATGTCTGCTTAGTAATTGTATATTTTGAAACATAGCTTTAAACTGTCTTATATCGAAGATTATTTGCAGATACACATTAAAACAGATTGTCCAAGTAAAGTTATAGTTGCTTTAAAAGTAATCTAGTGTTGGAAAATCACGAAACTTTATAGCAAAGACAGAAGAATAAATTAGCAGTGTTAGAGGAGATGTCATGGGTTTCTCTGCCAGAGTATTAAAGTTTAGTTGGTGTGCAGTACTTTGTTATTTCTCTTCTGTCTGAAGAAAGGCATGTGGAAAATAATGTATTACTATTTGAAAACAGTTGATCTTCTTAATTGTTGCACATATTTGTGTAGAATTTATTGATTAATAAGCATATGGTGATTCGATGTTTTGTTTTGGCAGAAAATAGTGTCAGAAGTTGTTGGTATAACATTTACTTTAGTGCCTCTGAATTAAGAGCTTTGAGAAACCTAGCGTCTGAGAGTTTCTTTTGACTTTTTTTTGATTGGTACCAGGGATCAAACTCATGACCCTGTGCTTGCAAGGCAGGCGCTTATGCTGCTGAGCTAAATCCCCAGCCCCGGAGAGTTTCTTTTGGATTGTGGCATTTGATCACTTCTAAATGACTTCTAAAAGAATTATCATTGAAAGACATTGTTGGCTTTTTGTTACTATTGTTTTAACTTTTATTTTCAAGTGGAAAAAAGATAAAGGACTTCTGTGAATACTTCTTACAAGGAGAGAATTGCTGCCTTTAAAAAGATAGTTTGATTCACTGCAAAGGTTCATTTTTGTACAATATTAATTTTTTTTCAGTTTACTTTTCATTCTTGGGTTTTGTTCTGTTTTTGTGGTGCCTCACACCTGTGTTGCATATGCCCTGCCACTGAGCTACAGCCCTTTTGTTAGTTTTCATTTCAGGAGTGCCTTGCCAAGTGGCCCAGGCTGGCCTCCTAATGATCTTCCTTCCTCACTTTTCTACCAGTTTGGATAACAGGCATGAGTCAGTGCTGTTCTGTCCTTCAGGTATTTGCTGTTTGTGATGTGCTGTGTGTGTACCACCTTGAGGTGAACAGGCAAGGTGGAGGTGGTGAGCACCCTGATTTCCACTTGGAGCAGAATTCTGGGACTAGAGAAAAGTTTTACGATTAGACAACGGATTGCTTTACAATAGGCACCCCTGGTTTCCAGACTCCACCTCTGACAAGTGTCACTTCTGAGTAACAGGTATAATCCTGTCACTTTTGATAGCAGGGTGGAATCACAGGAAGTTAAAGTTTTATAGTTTTTCAGATTTCTCATTGTTTGGAAAAGTTGTGTGTGTAGTTTTAGGTATTACAGTGAAAGAGGTAATTTAATTTTTCTTTTATGATGTGTAAACCAGAATACTTTAGGGTTAGGGAGATGGAGAAGAATTGGAGTATAAAACCTTTCTTTAAAAAAAGTATATGCATTTACTTGGTGGGTCATGATATCTAAAGTGTAGTTGAATCATGTGTGATGGTACATACCTCTAATCCTGTCACTCTGGAGACTGGGGTCATAGGATTGTAATTTCACATTATACTGCCTAGCAAGTTTGAGGCCATCCTGGGTTACATTGGAGGTTTGAGGCTAGCGTGGGCAATTGATGGCAGTTCTCCTGCCTCAGCCTCCCAAGTATTGGGATTATAGGTGTGTACCACGTTGAATTTAGGATCATATGGTAGACAGCACTCAACTACTGTACTACATCCCCATCCTTTTGAAAACATTATTTTTAGATTTTGAAACTTGATCTCACAAAGTTGCCCAGGCTGGGCTCAATTTTTGATTCTTCTACCCCAGCCTCTCCTGGATCCCCAGTACTGGTTCACCATTATGCTCAGCCAAAAGCATGTTTTGTTTTGTTTTTTTGAGACAAGGTCTCACTATGGAACCCAGGCTGGCCTTGAGCTCACTGTGATCCTCCTATGTGGCCCTCCTGAGGGCTGGGATCACAGGTGTGTGCCACCACACCTGACCATAAACATTTTTAACATATTTTACAAAGCAAGTTTGCTGGCAACAAATCTTCTCAGTTTGTATTTGAGCAAATCTTAATTTTATCCCTTTGGAGATAATGTCACTGATTGTAGAATGCTAGGTTGGTCATTAATTTTTCATTGAATACTATTTTAATTTCCTTGCCTGGATTTTATTTTGTCTGATCTGTAGCCAGAGTGGCTTTTTCCCACTAACCTAATATTTTGCTTGATTCTCCACAATTTAAATCTGATAAGCCTAGATGTGGGTGGCTTTTGGGTGTGGGGGATTACCCTGCTTGGTATTGTTCACTCTAACTTTGGGTGTTGGGTATTTTGACTCAGCTATGAAAAGAGTAGTGTGCTAAGCATTCTACTATCTAACACCTAGACACTCCCCACTTTTTTTGTAGACAAAGGTGTCATTGTGTTGTCCAGAGTGTCTCGAACTGTTGAGTTCAAGAGATTATCCAGGTTTAGCCTGCCAACTAGCTGTAGTGTGCACACATGACATGTTTGTCTTTATTCTTTTCATCTTCCTAGGTTTTTTGTTGTTGTTGTTGTTGTTGTTTTCATAAGCAGGCTCTCCGTTTGGCTGGCTTTGAATTCACTATGTGGTGTTCAGGCTGGCCACAAACTTGTGACAGTGCTTTTGTCTCAGCTTCCCAAGCGCTTGGATTACAGATGTGCACCTACCATGCTTGTCTGCTCTTTTTTGACAGTCTCTCCATGTCTAGCTCGTTTTCATTTTTGAAGGGTGTTTTTTGTTAATGAGATTCTGAGTTGACAGGTCTTTCTGTTTGTCTTAACAACTGTCAAGATGCTCTTCAGTATCTCTACTGTGTTTCTTGTTTGAAGTCTGCAATCCTCTGTGTAATTCTTTCTCTGTTTTGCTTTTTTGAGGCCAGGTCTTACAGTGTAGTCCAGTTGAAACTTAAGCTTGCTTTGTATCCAGGGTTGACTTCAAACTCAGTCTTCCTGCTTCAGCCTCCTAAACACTGGAATTATAGATTTGATTGCCACACTCAACTAATTTATCCAGTTGTTTCTGTCTTTGGCTCTTTTTTTTTTTTTTGATACTTTCTACTTTACTTCTGACTTGGTTTGGCTTGGTTGTGGATTGCCTTGCCTTGAATGTATCTGTTTGGGGGTTTGTAAGAGTTTCTAGAATATGTAAATTCATGTCTTATATCACATTTGAGATTTAAAAAAAAATTTTTTTTTGCCCCCATTTTTTCTTCTGCCAAAACTCTATAATTAAAATGTTTTTAAAATAATTGTCTGTGGATCGTGAGTCCTTATGTATTATTTCTTTAAGTTTCATAATTCACTTTGAGGTTCATTTACTATCATTACTAATATTCTCTATTCATTCAGTGAATTTTTAAAATTTTAAGTATTATATTTTTTAGGTTGAGTATCATTTTATTTTTTAAAATTAGTTTCTTTTCCTCTCCCCTTCTCTCTCCCTCCCCTTCTTCTGTCTGTTTTTTTCCTTCTCTCTCTTTCCCACTCTTGTCTCTGTTATTTGGGAGTCCTCTGCCTCAGCCTCCCAGCCCGCTGGGATTACAAGCATACACCGTCATGCCCAGATATTTTTTCATTTTTATAGTCTTCCAGCCTTCATCTTGGAGAGGTGATGCATATACACTGCAGAAAGTTATTGAGGGAAGGTTGCAGATTGGGGAGAAGAAAGGAGTGACACAGTTTGGGGAATTAGTAAAATACTGTTAGGAAGAAAGAGTTAATGCATTACTTTGAGCAATAAAGTAGTTTGTTAAGTTGTTAAAGACAACCTTCCATATGTTTGGAAAAACGTTACAGGGTTAAAGTTGGCCTGGAGAACATAGCACACTTGCAGTCAAATGAGTCAAGCTGGGTTTTGAGTAGTGAGTTGCTCAGTGTGGAGATGAGTGGTGAGAAGCAGTTTGTGCTTTCTGTTCCCTTTTGATTGGGTAGAGTCTAAGACATTAATGAGAGTAGGGGAGTTCAAAACAAGAGCGATGTTTTATCAGTTATGAAATCCAGTTTCTTATCCTTGTACCTTTTCTATTTTTCAGCTCTTAGATAAGCACAAAAACATTGAGAGCATGGTGGAGCTTCTGGACTTGTATCAGCTGGAGGATGAGGCATACAGCAGCCTTGCAGAAGCCACAACTGAGCTCTACCAGTACTTGCTACAGCCCTTCCGAGACATGAGGGAGCTTGCCATGCTGCGGCGGCAGCAGATCAAGGTAGGGTTTCATTCAGTAAAGCCTAAAAAGTAGCCTGTCAATCTGATAATTCTGGCCCTGGCTGATCATGCATCTTTCTTATTTTTGTTGGGATCGAACTCATGACCTAATGCTTGCCAGGAAGGCGCTTGTGCAGCTGAGCTAAACTCCTGGCCCCCATGCATCTTAATTACTAAAGGAGCTTTACAACCTTTGGACAGATACCTGGGCCTTATGCTTCAAAGGGACAGATACCAGGGCCTCATTTTTATTTTACTTTATTTTTTTAGGACTTCATTTTAAAGCATCTCAAAACATGATTTTGCCGAGTAGCTCAAATTGCAAACAGCATAGAAAGTAATTGTTGCTGTTTAGCACAAAGTTGTAAAGGTTTGGAAGATCCTCATATTTTCCTATTTCTACTTCTATCTCCTTTTTAATGTTCGGGCTTCTGACTATTAGACTTCATCAGAAATTTGGGGATATTTCTTTTATGAAGAGCTTGTTATAAAATTTGCGGTGGTTTAATAGAGCTTTAAAATCCACAGCATTTATTTGTCATGTATGAGGTACATATTGCATTTCCTGAGACAAGCATTTTGGTATTGGATTTTATAGCTGGCCTTACAAGTGTTTCTGTTTTACATCCACATGGAAGTGTTAATGAAACAGGACATTCTGTGTTTTTGCTTAATGGGTTAAGTTGGAACATTCCATAGGAATGTGTATTTGAGAAAATTTGTACTTAATCTGAGTTGTGGTTGGAGGCACAGTGGGTAGTATATTTGAAAAAGGAAATTGGATGCACACCTCTGTCCCATTCCTCAGGAGGCTGAGCAGGAGGATTATGAGTTTGAGGCAAAGCTAGGCTGCATGCAAAGTTTCATGTCAACCTGATATTAGAAGGTGAGATATTGTCTCAAGAAGCAAAAGGAAAGAAAGATGAACAGGGGCTAGAGCATATCCTTGTCTTTTTATTATAGTTATTAATGAATCAGGATAGAGATTAGCAAAGGCACACAATTGACATATATCTCATGGTTTAGTAAATTTAATGTTAACTATATATAAAAAGAGCTGGATGTGATGATGCATACTTTCAATCTCAGCATTTGGGAAATCAAGCCAAGAAAATCACTGTGATTCTGTCAAGGATAGAACCTGTCTCAAAACCTTGTCTCACTAGGGCCAGGGATTTAGCTCAGTGGCATAAGAGCCTGCCTTGCAAGTGCATGGTCCTGAGTTTGATCCCTGGTACAAAAAAAAAAAAAAAAAAAAAAAAAAAACTTAAGGGGCTGGAGATACAGCTCAGCAGCATAGGTGCCAGCCTGGCAAGCATGAGATCATGAATGCTATCCCAGGTACCAAAACAAAAACAAAACAGCAACAAAAAAACCCTGTCTCAACAAAAAAGAATATAAAAAAATCAATGCCTAAAGTCAGAAATGTTTTACCTTGTTGTGTTATGTTGTGTACTGAGATAATCATCAATTTAAAAAACTTGAAGGAGTTGAATGTTTTTTAATTTATTTTATTAGTACGTGGTGTGTGTGTGTGTGTGTGTGTATGTGTTTTGTTTTTGTTCTTTTAAGACAGAAAGGTTTCCCTGTGCAGTGGAGGCTGGCCTTGAATTCGCTGTGTATCCCAGGCTGGCCTTGAATTCATAGCAATTATATTGCCTTAGCCTCCTGAGTGCCGAGATAAAAAGATATGTGCCAGCACACCTGGCCTGTCATGAGTTTATTGTAGTCCTAAATGTAATACAAAGAAATAGCATCCAGTAATAAATAAAAAAATGATATGCTATGATCAACGAGAATTTATCTTAGACATGCAAACATAAGTCAGTATGCTAAGCACAAATGAAAAAGTATTAAGCTTTGTTGAAATTACAAGGTACACAGTAAATAGAGGTGGAGCATATTAATAGTTGGGAAGACAAATAATGGTGATATAACAGTGTGATTGTTTTTTGTTTTTGTTACTATAATGGAATGCCAGAGGCAGGCTAACTTTGTTAAGAAAGAAGGTTTATTAAGCTCAGACAGGTACTTTGAGCCACTGAGCTAAACCTCTAGCCTGACATTTTCTGTTTTAATGAGTTTTACATTCTAAGTTCCACATACATAAGTGAGATTTTGTGTTTCTTTTATGTGCCTGGTTTATTTCCCTTGAGGTACTGTCCTTCAATATCCTTAACTTTCTGGGGAACTTTAATACTATTCCTTTTTTTGTAGTGCGAGTTGGTATCACAGTGTACAAACACCTCCCCACGCCAACAGTTACCATTTGTCCATTAGATGTAAGGTGATAACTCCGTGTACTTTTAACGTGTCTTTCTCTGACTACTAGTAACATAACGCTTTTCATACACTTGCTGGCAATTTGTATATTTTGTCTGCTTGAGTCCTTTGTTCTTTTTAGTGGAGTCCTGGCGTTGAGTTCTTTATTTTGGTACTAAACGCTTATCAGATACATGGCTTGCACATATTTTCTCCTGTTCCATAGTGTGTGCCTTCAGTGTGTTGGTAGATTCCTTTGCTGTGCAGGGCTTTTTGGTTTGATATAATTCATTTTGTTTGTTTCCCCTTAGTTGTTATGTTCAAAGTGATTTCCTTGTGTTATGGAATGTTTTCCCTTGTGTTTTTTTCTGAAATTTTAGTTTCAGAGTTTACTTCATTTTGAGTATGGAATGAGAAAAAGACTATAATTTCCTTCTTCTAATATATCACTCTTGTTTATATTTATTGAAGAGGCTGATCTTCCCCATTGTGTGTTCTTGGCACTTTGTTGAAAATCAGTAGGTGATTAATACATGGATTTATTTTGGAGTTCTCTGTTTTTCCATCTGTCTGCACCATAGTCTTTTGGTCACTGTGCCTTCTTTTGTATACTTTGAAATTCCATCCTTGTTCATCAGGATTATTGTGGCTATTTGGGGAGTTTGGTTCCATTTTCATTTATGTTTATTTATTGTTTTGTTATTTTGAGACTATAGTCCAGACTGGCCAGAAACTTGCTGTGTACCCAGGCTGACCTTGAACTAACAGAGATCCTTTTGGCTCAACCTCCTAAGTGCTGGGATTATAAGCATCCACCACGATGCCCAGTTTGATTCTATATTAATTTTAACATAGTATTTTCTGTTTCTGTGTTTGTTTTTTATAGGTTTGCTTGTTGGTTCTTGGTTTTTGCTTTGTTTTGTGGTACTGGGGATCAAACTGAGGGCCTTGTGCACTTGTGTATGCTAGTACTCTATCACTGAGCTATATCGCCAGCCTGTTTTTCGGGAATAAACTGAATCTAGATCTCACTGGGTAGTGTGAAGCACTCCCCCCCCCCGCAATTGATGCTGAGAATAGAGCACAGGTCCTTCACACTGAGCTGCGTTCTCAGGCCTTTTTATATTTTTATTTTGAGACAGTGTCTGGCCAAGTTATCTGGGCTAGGCCCAAACCTTCTACTTTAGCCTCACAGGATGCTGGGATTGCAGGTGTATACCACCATATCTGCCCTAGATGAGTATTTGAATTATCTTTCCTATGTTCTTTGTGTCACTGGATAGGGTCTAAAGAGGTCCTCAAGATGGACATTAGGAACCTTGATGTACTCCACTCATGGAATAGGCTGCAGGCGCACTGACTTGCTTCCCAGAAAAGGGATTTTCACTCCAAAACAATGAGAGGCACATAGGGGTTTGTTAGACAGAGTCTTTTTTTTCCCCCCCTAGGGATCAAACTCACAACCTCACATTTGCTAAGTGGGCATTTACACTGCTGAACTAACCCCCACCATTAGGCAGAATTTTAAAAGCACACTCAGAGTATGGGTCTGAGAGAGAAACAGAGAGAGGCAGAGAGGTTCTGTAGTCTGGATATTTATGTGTTTTGGGGCCCAGACCTGGAATTTGTCAATCTATGGAAAGTGTGGGCTTGGTTTACGGGAAAATGTGATGGCTGGCTCTTAAGTAGAAAGACAAGTGGCCTATTTTACAGGTCAAAGGGAGAGCCAGTCCTTTTTGTTTTGTTGAGATGAGTGATCTAAGATGTTTGTCAAAAAATTCTTTCAAACTGTTTTGCTATTGTAAGGTCAGGTTTCTGCCTTCTACCATCTACGCTAATTTATGGACATCTTTTATGGAATTTTGCATTGTGATGGACCTCAAATAAAGGCAGCACAAACAAGTGTAGGAAGTACATGGATGGATAACATTGAGTAACTTCTGTTGTGTGTCCTGAAGTTGCAGTATTCAAAGTAATTCTGTTTGGTTTTGTTATTGTTTAGTTTTGCTTGGTTTTTTGAGACAGGGTGTTTGTGTAATGCAGGTTGGCCTTCAGCTCACTCTGTAGCCCACGCTGGACTTGAACTTGTAGCAATCCTCCTGCCTGAGCCTCTGGAGCGCTGGGGTTACAGGCTTGTACCACCAAGCCTGGCTGAGACTGGGTTTTTACAAGGGTTGAGAGTGTGGACAATGGTCTAGGCACCAAAAGTGATTATCCAAAGAATGTCTTCCTGGATCCCTTAGAAACCTCTAGATGCAGCGAGTACCTGTATTGTATTTATATATTTACAGTTGTATTTCCTCTTATAAAAACCATTGAGTTTTAGATAAGGAGGTTGACACATGTTATCTTTTAGAGAAAATGAGTCCTAACTCACTGAGAAGAAAGAATGAGCTTTACATCAGAAGGCTCACTGCTACCCAGAGCAGAATTCTTTCCTGGAGTTCTGCTGTGAAGGTTTTTTAACCCTTTTTTGCTGATTGTTTTGTTGTATTCTGGAGTGTTCACTGCAGCTCCAGCTCCACTGCTCTCCCTAAGTGAATCAAAGTACAAATGTAAATAAATGAAGACATTTTTATTGGACACTTTATTGGAAAGGGGGAAAAGGAGGAACAATAGCAACCGCGATAAACCCACATGGGAAATCTAAAAAGGGCAGACCAGAGAGCCCTTTATTTCTGGTGCTTTCTTGTAATGGGTGCCAGTGCTCTTTCCCCTACCTGGATTGGTTTCCTGGGT